TCAATAAAGTAACGGAACTGCAGGATTAAGATCAATGGAGGAGACGAAAAATTCTGGAGAAAGACATGGTAGTAGAATAGACCAAATGGAAGACTAAATCAGTAAACTGGAAGACACAAATAGGAAAATAATCAAGATAGAAAAAGAGAAATACAAAGAGAAAAAAAATGAAGGAACAGTTGGAGAATTATCTGAGAAGAAGAAAGGAAAAATAAGAATCATGGATATCCCAGGAGAAGAGAGAAGGGAACTGAGAAATTATTTAAATAATTAATGAAGAAAACTTCCCAAACTTGAAGAAGGAACTGCACGTATAAATTCAAGAAGCTGGGCCATTAGAGAAGAACAAAGACCCCGGGAGACGCGCACACAGCCCGGGCTGCCGGTAAGCTTGCGTGGAAAAACGGCATGCTTGGCGGCGCGCTTGAAAAGGCTTGAAAAGCAAATGCAGACCGGAATCGCCGCTGCCCAGGTCCCCGCGCCTGCGACCTAGGCTTGCGGGGAGATGCGCGGAGGCCCTCACGGGGGTGAAAGTCCCTCACTGAGTGAGCAGGAACCAGGCGCCCAGGCACGGGAGCGGGTGCAAAGGCGCCATTCCTGCGCCACTGAACTGGGCTACAGCCCGCGTCCTGGACCTGAGGGCTTTGGAACTGAGGCCCGGGGCACGAAATTTGGGGCGTGGGTTCTCCACGACGGTGGGGCACAAGGCAGACACAGCACCCCAAAGCTGTTGAGGTTTACCCTACCATTCCCACTCTGTTCCCTGTCCCAAGGGGTGGGGGTAGGCGAAAAACAGCCCCCCAAGGACAATAGGAGAGATCTCTGGCGCCACCCTAGCGACCAGAAAAAAAAAATTCACTAAACACCCCATAGAACAGGAAATTCTTAAGACTGCTTGAAAAGGGCAGAAGGCTTCTGGAGGACCCAGTGGCCAGCCGGGAAGTTAGCCCATGCCAGGCCCCTTCCGACCAGCAGTCTGAGCCCACAGAGGAAGGAGGCACCCACGTCCGGGGCAGACCGGGTGCGCAGAAGAGTGTGCCTGAAACCGGAGGTGCAGGGACTGCATCCCGCTTCGCCATTTTAGAACAGGGACATTTCTTCAGTAAAAACTGCCTAATACCAGCAGAAAGCTGCCCCAGAAGCCAGAGATGGCTCCTGGAGGAGCCAGAGGGGAGCGGAGAAGTTCACCCAAGATGCCACCCAGTCCGAGCAACACAGTGTCCCAATGCATACGACAAATTAGAAAACAGACAGATAGGAGTAGAAGAACCACACGCAACCTAACAACTCCTCAGGAAAGAAGCACACCACAAAAAGAAAACCATTCCCCAGATTGCAACGACAGCAACTTGGAAGAACGTCTGAGCCTTTCAGAAAGAGAATTTAAAATTGCCATGATTAAAAAAGTGATAGATCAGAAGAAGGAAATTGAGTCCCTAAAGAGGGAAAACAATGTCAGAAGAATGAAATTGAGTCCCTAAAGAGGGAAGTAAAAGAAATGCAGGAGATCAAAGAATTAATGGAGGAACTAAAGAACTCTGGGAAAGCAATGAAAGCAGAATAGATGAAATGGAAGAATGAATAAGTACTCTTGAAGACACAGAAATAAAAAGAACCAAAACAGAAAAGGAAAGAAGAAGTACGAAGGAAAAAAAGAATGAAGAAAGACTTCGGAATTATCTGACTCCATGAGGAAAGGAAATATAAGAGTTATAGGAATCCAGAAGGAGAGGAGAGAGATGTAGGAACAGAGAAAATATTCCAGGAGATAATTGAAGAGAACTCCCAAATGCGAAGAAGGAGCTGAAAATTGATATACAAGAAGCAAGAAAACACCAAACTTCCACGACGAAAGGAAAACACAGCAAGACACATAATAGTAAAGCTCCCAAGAATCCAGACAAGGAAAAAATAATGAAGCTGACAAGAGGAAGAAAACAGATAACATTCAAAGGAAAACCAATCAGGCTGACATCAGACTTCTCTGAAGAAACACTACGGCAAGGAGAGAGAGTGGAGGGACATAGTCAACAGACTCCAAGAAAACAGATGCCAACCAAGAATACTCTATCCCGCAAAGCTCTCTTTCCTCCATGAAGAAAGAATATGGACCTTCCCAGACAAAGAGAAACTCCGGAATTTCATTACGACTAAACCCCCACTCCAAAAAATACTACAAGGAATCCTAAAGCCAGAACCTCAGAGGACGAATAACAACGAAAGAAGACCAAAAAAAAAAAAGTTATTAAGAAGAATAATAAATAAAATCAAAGGAAGACAAACACAATGGCAAATACAGATGCTAACATATCAATATTAACTCTAAATGTAAATGGACTAAACTCTTCAATAAAAAGACACAGAGTTGCAGCCTGGATTAAGAAGAACGAAACCCAAACTTTTGCTGTCTCCAGGAAACACATTTAGCTACAAAAGATAAAAAATAGGCTCAAAGTCAAAGCATGGAAAACAATCCTACAAGCAAATGGGCCAAAAAGAAAGCAGGAACAGCTATACTTATTTCAGATAAAACAGACTTCAAACTCAAAAAAAATAAAAAGAGACCCCAATCACTACATTATGATCAAGGGGACAATACTGTCAAGAAGAAATAACATTCATTAACATATACTCACCAAATGAAGAGACACAAAATATATCAGACAACGTTGTCCTCTCTGAAAACAGACATCAGAGAAAACACATACGTCGTGGGAGACTTCAACACACCACTATCAACAATGGATAGATCAACAAGACAAAAAATAAGTAAAGAAACTAAAGCTCTAAATAAGGACCTAGAGCATTTGGCTTAACAGACATCT